GAATGCGCCTGACAGGGGAGACTTTATTTCCGGTTTTACTGAGTCAATTTCACATGTGCGGTCAAACAAGACCATTAAGAAGCCCATTTTTTTTACTAAAGCCCACGTAAATAAGGTCAAAACAACTTAACCTAGGCTAAACACATAACCTAAACCTCCTGCTCTGCTCAACGATCAAAGTAAGCGTTCTTCTCCTTCATCTTCCATTTTATTTCCCTCCACATCAACCGCAGAAGCTTGCAGCAGTCCAGGCGTCCAGTATATTTCTTTTTTATTTCTTTTTTTTCCTCCATTCTTCTTCATCTTCCATTCATTCCATTTTATTTCTTTTTTCATTTTTCAGCAGCTACTTCTTACATACTACCAGTATTTTTTTCAGCATGTATATGTAAAGTGTAAAGTACCAGCTACTTCTTTTTGTACTCCATGTCTCTATAGAGCTCTTGTTCTACAGTCTAAACAACTTAAACATATATGTAAACTACCAGTATATTTTTTACACCGTGTATATGTAAACTAACAGATACTTCTTCTTGTACTCTGTAGAATTCTTGTTTATATGTGATATGTCTCAGTTAGTCAATTCTACAGTCTAAACAACATAAACATATAAATGTAAACTACCAGTATATTTTTTCACACATGTATATGTAAACTACCAGCTACTTCTTGGTGAAGTACATACTACCAGTATACATACTATCTAGAACATACTACCAAACTACCCTTTTTTTGACCATGTATACATACTACCAGTCCACACTACCAAACTACCATTTTTTATCATGTATACATACTACCAGTCCATTTTGTGTCATAGGTTGCTGTATATATACTTTATTTTGGTTAATCGTGACTTTATTTTGGTGAAAGTGTGAAACATGATTTTATTTGATCAAACCATGACTTTTCAATGTAGTTGGTTCAATATGGTGTTATATACATCATGCTTGATCATTGGAGAATAGTATGTGTGATATTTTCTAAGCAATGCGCCTGACATGAGTCAGGCGAGCGCTTTTTTGCGCCTTGCGCCTCAGGCGCTGGAATTACCCCATCGCCTTGAGTGCGCCTCACGACTTTGACTACCTTTCCTTGAATAGTTTTAATTATAGACTTTAAAGAAGCTTGATTTCGGATGAGATTGGTATCTCCCTGAAACTTCATTTCTTACTTCATTTCTTTACCATTCTCCTTCCATTTGATTGAAATGTTTAAGCTGATTGAAATTAAATTCCACATCTCCCAGCTAACCATTCCAGTCCCAACACCATCTCTGTCTCACACTCTCACCCAACTCTAAGATATAAAAATCTTGAATAATATCAGTATGCTGTATTCTCACTGAAACAGCTTCACATCTTCCATTATTACTAATGATATCCCTGTTGGGCTGTAGGCTTCGGCCCACTCAGATCTGGGAGCCAAATAAACAAAGAGCAGCAGCCGGCCCTAGTTATATGTGCAGCCAGCCTTAGTTCGGCGGCCGAGAACTTTATTAAATGTTTACCCTAATTGTTTGCCTATATATATTGACTCTTGTACGTGTAAACTAGGACTTGTATCATTCATCATCTCAATAAGAAAGAAAACCCTAGTTGCCCCCATGGATTAGGTCAGTAACATCTACTGGCTGAACCACGTTAAATTCGTGTTGTTCTTCTCGTTCTCTTCTAGTTTTTCAGTTTTGTGTGTGTGTGCGCCCTAACCCTAACAACTGGTATCAGAGCGAGGTTAGCAACCACCACATATCCAATCACTGGGACAATGGCAGATGACAGAAAAACCAAAGTCGAGAAGTTTGATGGACAAGATTTTGGATGGTGGAAGATGCAAATTTAGGATTTGTTGTGTCAGAAGGATTTGGATCAAGCCTTGACAGGGGAAAAATCAGAAAAGATGAGTGATGATGAATGGGCTGCTCTAGACAGGAAAGTTTTGGCTGTTATCAAATTTACCCTAGCCAAGAGTGTGGCGTTTAACCAATGTTCGTAATTGCGTATTGCGTAATCATGACGGATTTTTAGAATTGCATATTGCGTAAGCCTCATTGCGCAATGAGGCATATAGCTGAGGCGTAAATATAAATATATATATATATATATATATATATATAGAAAACTTGAATAGTTGAATATTACCAGAAAACTAATATAATAGAAAATTAACTTTACTGTGTCCGTTTACATCAAGTAGAACTGTAGAACACTAATATTAATATCAATGACTTAAAGGTGAAATTAACATCAAATATGAAAACAAAAAAACATACTAATATGCAATCAAAATTAAATTAAACAGAAAATTTAATATCAATATTAAATCAAAGTTGAAGTTATCATTAAATATAATAACTGGAAAAAAATATTGATAAGTTGAAACTTAATCGCAGGATAATAATAAAATATTAATAGTCAGAAAAATAACATTACTAATTAGTGTTTAATTGAATAGAAACAAAAAGGCATCAACAGAGAAGCATAAAAAAGGCAGTACAGAGTTGAAGTTATCATTAAATATAATAACTGATACAAAATATTGGTCTGTTGAAAGTTGGAAACTTAATTGAAGGAAAATCATAAAGTATTAATAGGCAGAAAATTAATATTAATATTAAGTATTAAATTCAATAGAAACAAAAACTAAGCATCAAAAGAGAAGCAGTACAGCAGATTGCGACCAAACTTATTAAGTACAAGAGCCTCTGCTGATTGCGACCAAACTGGAAGAGGTGGTGGAAGCCGGAAGGACTGCTGATAGCGACGAAGAAGGCTGGTTGCGTACAGAATTGAATGGGAAGAAGCGGCCGTATATAATGGAACTGCTAAGTGCTAAGGCCGTATATAAGTAATTTAACGAAAAGGCTTTGCGTTAAAAACGCACGCAATTAGTAAAAAGTGGGCCCAGCGGGCCAAAATTATCATTGACCCACTAAACAAAATATTTTACGCCTTACATACACCTCATGGTGTAAGTTAAATTGCGTACGCCTTTGCATTAAAAATGCACGCAATACATCCCTGCGCAATCTGCAATGCAATTTAACGCCTCAGCCTTGGAAATAGCAGATGCGCGCCATAAGGCGCAATTGCATTGCGCAATTGCGAACGCTGCGTTTAACATCTTGAAGGAGACTACTGCATGTGGTTTGATGAAGGCTTTGTCAAACATGTATGAGAAACCATCAGCGTCAAATAAGGTATTTCTGATAAGACAGCTAGTAAACACCAGAATGAAAGAAGGTGCATCTGTTACCCCACAATGAGTTTAATACTATCATATCCCGTTTACTATCGGTTGACATTAAGTTTGAAGATGAAGTCCAAGCTTTGCTCTTATTATCCTCGTTACCAGAAAGTTGGTCAGGAACAATCACGGCCATTAGTGGTTCAGCTGGAACCTCTAAACTCACATTTGAGGGCATTCGTAAATCGTAAGTATATCCTAGGAGAGGATATTCCAAGTGGTTGTTCTGGAGAAGATGCTAATTTCTATTGGCCAGTTGGATTCGTAAGGAAGAGTTCTGGAGAATCTTCAAGTGCTTTGTTAAGCACTGAAGGGAGAGGTAGAGAGAAAGAGAAGGGTAATGGCAGAGGCAGATCAAAGTCTAGAAAGAGGAGCCAGTCAAAACCGAGAAAGGACATTCAATGCTGGAATTGCAAAGAAACTGGGCATTTCAGAAATCAATGCCCTAAATCATCAGAAAGGAAGTGAATGCAGCATTGCAGCCACTGACGATTCAGATGATGCTCTTATTTGTTGTGTTGAAAACTCAACAGAGTCGTGGATTATGGATTATGGTGCATCTTTTCATGCTACTTTCAGCACAAAGATGATGAAGAATCTACGGACAGGTAATTTTGGTAAAGTTCGTTTGGCTAATAACGACTCTCTTGACATCACAGGGATGGGTGACATAGGCTTAAAGACTTCTTTGGGCACCACTTGGACATTGAAAGACATTTGCATCATTCCAAGCCTTAAGAAGATGCTAATTTCTATTGGGCAGTTGGATGATCAAGGATTTGATGTTACTTTTGGTGAAAGACAATGGAAAGTTGTCAAGGGGAATCTTGTAATCGCCAGAGGCAAAAAGAGGGGTACCTTATATATAGTTCAAGCTCCTGATGATGAGATAATTGCAGTGACCAGCGGGCTGAATCCATCCAGTTTGTGGCATCAACGGCTTGGCCACATGAGTGAAAAGGGAATGAAGATGCTCGTTGCAAGGGGGAAACTTCCAGATTTGAAAAAGGTGGATTCTGAGTTCTGTGAACCTTGTGTACTTGGCAAGAAAAAGAAGGTTACTTTTTTGAAGACGGGACAGACACCAAAAACTCAGAAGCTGGAGCTAATTTACACAGATGTTTTTGGACCAACACCAGTCTCTTCCCAGGGAGGATCAAACTACTATGTGACCTTCATTGAAGGTCGAATACTTCGGGCAATCCAGTGATAATGCTACTTGGATGAGTAAGGTGAGTTATGTGAGCTAGTTTCCTGATTTCAAATTTGAGGACAAGGTGGTTTCGAAAGAGGATAGAGTTGATAGAGAGCAGGGGCTCGGCTTGGAGGAGGAGAGCCCCTGTTGGTTTACCAAGATGGGGAAGGGCTTGAAGCCCACCTTCGTGGGCTGGCTGTGGGCCGTAGTTTTAGTTTTATTTTTTATAATTTTTCTGTTATGTTTTCTATTTTGGGCTTTTTGGGCTTGATTAGGATATCTATTTTGGTCTCTTAATAGAATGGTACTTAAATCCCTAAGTAGGGTTTACTTTGGTTTTATCGAATTAATAATATTGGATTTCAGCCTGGTGGCTTTGGGCAACGGTTTCTTCGGTTGATTGTTACTTTTCAGGTTTCATCATTTGCACATAAAATTAATATTCCAACTCATTTAAAAAACACTTCTTAATTCTAAAAAAATGCAATGGGCAGAATAACAGATCTAGAAAGAACACAAATAAACTGAAGAAAATAAGCAAATTTGTATCTAAACCAACCTGAGGGTGCTCTGCATTAAATGGTGGAATTCCCACAATCAACTCAAAGAGAATAACACCCACAGACCACCAGTCAGCTGTGAAACCTGATGTAGAACTAGTATGAGAATGTTATGGTGACTACAGGCATGATAAGAGAGGGATCAAACAGAACGTGTTATGGTGACTACAGGCATGATAAGAGAGGGATCAAACAGAACGTTCCAATAGCATCCTTACACAGTCAAAATAACATAACACCGGTGTTTTATAACAATGGAATCCAAAGTTTATTTACCTTAAAACTACAGAAAGAAATTATTCCTTTCAAGGTTTCAGATGTACATGTTCCATACGAATAATTGTATTCAGAATGTAGTATCGGTATTGAAACTTAAACTAAAAGCATCAAGAGATACAACAAATCATGCATACCCTGGTTAATTAGCACTGCAGAAATGAAACATGGACCACTTCATAAGAAGAAAAGGCACTAACCATGCCCAGTTCCTAGAAGGATCTCAGGTGCCAGGTAGTCCGGTGTGCCTACAGCAGAACGTTTTCTACGCCTTTCACTCTGCTGTTCTGATGCAAATTGCCGAGATTCATCATCATCCATCATGGAAGTTCCACTGACAGCCGGACCAGACAGATCATCGGTACTATTTATAAGACCAACTTTTGAAAGACCAAAATCTGTCAGCTGTACAAAACTGCACTCATCAAAGCGCTTTTTGGAGATGCATGATCCCATACAGAATGAATAGGATTGCAAAAATACCATATAAAAAGAACTTGGTTCACGTGTGAATAGACATCTACTAAAATTTACAGACAAGATGCATGTTCTTTTATGTTTCACAAACTAAACTAAAAGTAAGTTGTATTTACACCAACTGTTTTGCCCCAAGAAAAAAAACTGTATCAAGGACCTACCCCAGGAAACAACAAATAACACATCTTCACGAGTGGTTGTGCCAATATACAATAAAAAGAGACCCAACACAACATTAGAAAGGTACCTTAATATGACCATCATGTGCAATCAACAAATTATCGGGCTTTAAATCGCGATGAACAACACGCAATGAATGCAAATATTCCAGAGCAAGCACCTGTGGAAGGAACAACCAGAATCTCAACTTTACAGTCTAACATAAGTATAAGCTTCATGAGATGGATATATGAAGGTGTTACGTGCCGCTCATATCAGAAGGTTATTTTGATTATCAGCGTATATTTGTGAAATGCAACTTACAACTTCAGCTATGTAAACACGAGCTACATCTTCGTCAAGACAGCTTAGGTTTCTTAATAGTGAATACAGATCCCCACCATTCAAATACTCCATCACAAGATACAGATTTTCACGGCAAGTAAATGAATAGAAGAAGCGGACCTAAATCAAAGAATGATTGGTTAATATCAGAATAAGCATATCCATATATCATTCCAGTAAATAAGTGATGCGGTTGATGTGCTCACCACAAATGGATTACGAACTGATATTAAAATATCACGTTCTGCTAATATACTCTCAACCGCATTCTTGCGTATCATATCTGCCTTCTTAAGAACCTATATAAAAACCTCATAAGCTACTATAAAAAGAAATAGCCAGTTTAACAAACAAGATATAAAAGAGATGCTAACAATTAACAGGTTTATTTTCCCTGAGTATAATTTTGTACTCAAATCTCTATGAAGGTAACAACCGCAAAAGGGAATAACAAAAATGAGGATTAAATCCATGCAAGTGATGTGCTTAGTGCCAAAAAGATCAGAATCCAATTAATGGTACTGCAACCAGTGGCATATCCACAATTGTAGGTGAGAGGGGGCTTTGTAAGTAAAAAATTCTGTGTTGATATATTTTTTCTTTTTTAGAAACAAATAATAATGAGACAACTTTTAATTTATTAAAATTATATACCACAACTAAACAACAACAAATGAATCACATAAAGGCGGATTAATTGTGTAATTGTGTAATTTCTATAAGTGTATAGAAAGGAGATCAATTTATATTACGTGTGTGCAAGAATTTAATTACAATTATTTATTAAATTGAAATTCTTGAAATTCGTTTGAAACATGTTTATAGCTTTAAAGAGGCTAACAAAAAAATCAAAGATATTCGGAAGGATTCAAACCCTCATCCATTTGGACAAAGCATGGAACAAGTTCCATTACACTAATATAAATTGTATTAACACTAACTTAATTAACAAATTAATACAAACTGTAAACAATGCATACATATTTATTGTATATATAGGGGTTGGGTGGGGGCTAGGGGGATTCCCCCCTTCTACCCCCTTAAGATACGCCACTGATTGCAACAAGAAACACAGATAATATACTCAATTGTCAAACAGAAAAATTGATCGAGACATGTAAATTGCAATCCATTCAGTAGTACCTTAATGGCAAACAGATCCCCAGTGGTTCTCTTTTTTGCTAGAAAAACTCGACCAAATGCTCCACGACTGATCGGTTTAATGATCTCAAAGTCATCTATAGAAGTACGGTCTCTATTAGAATGAACAGGGCTGGTTCTCAAGCTACGCACAACATCATCTTCTAAAAGGGCATCTTCATCAATGATTGTACTTGTCATGTCAACTTTCACATCAACAACTAGCTCGCATAGTTGCAAGTACTTCTCCCTTGATAAGGAAGTTACAAAATAAAAAATAATGATATATCCTAAATAACTAATTTGAAAGAAATTCGTAAAGTTGAGTTTCATAGAAAGAACAGAATATTAACTTACCGAATCAACTTTTCTATTCGTGTTCCAAATGTCTCCACTGTAAGGGCATCTAGCTTTCTCCTATCAATAACTACTTTCAAATCTTCAAGGCAAGAGATCAAATAATGCAATGAGCGATCACCCTCCACAGGCGTGTTTGCTACACATCGTGAAATATCAGCAAGTTCATTCATCTGCAGTGTCAAAGAAGATCTTTAACATTGTATAACTTCAGACGTAATCCACCCAATCAATTAAAAAAATAAAAAACATGAATTTGAGAAAAGCACATCAATAATGCTTCATAATATGTAGAAAATGTTACATTATTTTTTCTGATTAAACTAATGTACATATTTAGTCGGATAGACTAGAATAGATGCAGTTAGTTGTAGATAAGCTTTGTAGTTATCAAGATCCTATTTTTTAGGATCTGTACTAGCTAGTTGTTTTCTGTACAAAGTGTATTTATACCCTAGCCGTTTGGCTTATTCAATCAAGGAAGTTTTATTACTAAAACTTACATGGTATCAGAGCAGGCCGTTTAAACACCACAATGGTGGAAACCGAGCACTCTGACTCTTCTCCCCACTCACAAACCCATAACCCTAACTCCCAAAATAGCTTCATGACAAACTACCAGACCTCAGTTCATTCATCTATGCTCATTACTGGACATAGATTGAATGGCACAAATTATCTCGAATGGTCACAGTCTGTCAAGCTGGTAATTGATGGAAGGGGCAAGCTAGGGTACATAACTGGTGAAATAAAGGAGAAACAAACTGGTGATGATGGCTACAGTATCCGGAGGTCAGAAATTTCCTTGGTGACAGCCTGGCTTCTCAATTCAATGGATGCATCAATTGCCAAACCTCACATGTTCATGAAACTGCAAAGGAGGTATGAGATTCAATCAAGGAAACTTACTCAGATCTTGAGAACTCTTCTCAGATTTTTGAATTAAAAACCAAGTTGTGGCAGTCCAAACAAGGAAATAAAGATGGCATCTCATACTATAATGAGATGGTATCCTTATGGCAAGAGTTGGATCAATGCTATGATGATGAGAAGTGGGAGAGTGCCAAGGATCTAGCAAGATACAAAAAAAGGGAGGAAAATGATAGGGTCTATATGTTCCTAGCAGGAATTAATAGAGACCTAGATGAAGTTAAGGGAAGAATACTTCGAAAAAAACATCTACCCTCCATCAGGGAGGTATTTTCTGAAATCAGGTTGGAAGACAGTAGCAAGAAAGTTATGTACAACACTCCAGTACATAACAAGAAAAAACCCTGGTGTGATCACTGCAAGAAATTATGGCACACTAGGGAGACTTGTTGGAAAATTCATGGCCAACCACCGGGAGCAGGAAAGAAAAAAATTGAGAAGGCCCTACAAACAACTGTGACTGAGACTCAACAAGAACCACAAGTCAAGTTCAATCCGCCTTCATTCACTCAGGAGCAGATAGAGCAACTTTTTACCCTCCTACATTCCCAAAATCTTCCTTTTGCTTTATAGATGATGATCACACACGGGTGATGATCACACACGGGTCACATGGGTTTTTTTTATTAAAGAAAAATCTGAGGTTGAAGAGGTGTTCAAGAAATTTTACTCAATGATTCAGACTCAATTCAATACTAATATCAAAATTGTGAGAAGTGATAATGGTCTTGAGTATTTTTCTAAGAAGTTAAATAATTTTTTTGCTGAAAAAGGGATTATTCATCAAAGTTCCTGTATAAACACACCTGCTCAGAATGGAATAGCTGAGAGGAAAAATAGGCATTTGCTTGAAGTCACTGGTGCAATTATGTTTTCTGCTAGAATTCCAAAATATTTATGGGGAGAAGCTGTTTTACATGCTACCTATTTAATTAATAGGATGCCATCAAAGACTCTAGGATTTAAAACTCCCACTGATACACTTCAAGCCAGTTTTCCTGAAACTAGGCTTATTAACTCTCTTCCCATAAAAATTTTTTGCTGCACAGTTTTTATTACCAATCCTGACAGAACTGCAAGCAAATTTGATCCTAGAGGCAAAAAATGTGTTTTCTTAGGTCTATCTTCAACACAGAAAGGCTATAAATGTTTTGACCCTACAACAAAAAAGATGTTTGTACCAATGAACACTGTTTTTGTTGAAAATCAACCTTTTTTGGTACTCATCTTCAGGGGGAGATTCCTAATGAAGATGGTGATAATGTGTCACATATCCATGAAAAACTTGAATTTCTTGACATTAGTCTAGATGCACAATAAAATAGACAGTTAGATGCACTAGAAAATAGTCAAGAATCAAAAGAAAATGAAATAAAATTTTCTGAGACAAGGAAAGATGATGAACAGCAGACAAGTAAATTTTTTGGCAAGGTTTATGAAAGGAGAGTTCCAAATCAAAGAATAGAGGACATCCCTTATCCTGCCACTGCTCATGAATCTGACTCAATGTCAGAAAATGACAAAGGTAATAATTCTAGTGATCTAAATCTACCCATTGCTCTCAAAAAAGAAAAAAGATCATGTGTTAAATACCCTATCTCAAACTATTTGTCCTATTCTCAGTTATCTGCATCATTTGCAGCCTTTACCTCTAGTCTTTCCACTGTTTCTATTCCCTTAACCATACAGGAAGCCCTATCTAAACCTGAGTGGAAGAAGGCTGTTTTAGAAGAAATGAATGCTCTTGAAAACAATCAGACATGGCAGGTTGTGGAATTACCCAAGAACAAACCAACGGTGGGATGCAAATGGGTATTTACCCCTAAATTCAAGGCAGATGGTACACTTGAAAGATATAAGGCCAGATTGGTTGCCAAAGGATATACACAAACCTATGGCATAGACTATACAGAAACTTTTGCTCCAGTTGCAAAATTAAATACTATAAGGATCCTTCTATCTCTAGTTGCTAACCTAGACTGGCCTCTTCAACAGTTAGATGTGAAGAATGCTTTCTTAAATGGGAAGCTTGAAGAGGAAGTATACATGAGCCCCCCTCCTGGGTTTGAGGAACAGTATGGCTCAAAGGTGTGCAAGCTGGAGAAAGACTTATATGGACTTAAACAGTCTCCAAGGGCTTGGTTTGACAGGTTTACTCAATTCATAAAGAGGCAGGGATTCAAGCAAGCCCAAGCAGACCATACACTGTTCATGAAGTTCTCAAGTAAAGGAGAGATTGCAGTGTTAATTGTTTATGTGGATGATATCATTCTTACAGGGGACTATTATAAAGAGATTGAAGACCTGAAGAAGAAGCTGGCTCAGGAATTTGAGATCAAAGACCTGGGAGAATTGAAGTACTTTCTTGGCATGGAGATAGCCAGATCAAAGAAGGGAATTGTGATATCTTAGAGGAAGTATGTACTAGACCTACTCCATGAAACAGGTATGAGTGCCTGCAGACCAATAGATACTCCAATTGATCCTAATCAAAAGTTAGGAGATGTCAAGGAAGGAGTACCAGTTAATGTTCAACAATATCAAAGATTGGTGGGAAGATTGATTTATCTGGCACATACAAGGCCAGATATTACCTTTGCCGTTAGTATGGTTAGCCAATTCATGCATAATCCATTCCAGGAACATCTAGATGCTACCTACAGAATCCTAAGGTATTTGAAAAGTTGTCCAGGGAAAGGATTATTTTTTAAAAAGAGTGACAATAGAAGTGTGGAAGCTTTTACAGATGCAGATTATGCTGGCTCAATAACTGATGGAAGGTCTATATCTGGGTATTGTACCTATGTATGGGGGAATCTAGTGACTTGGAGGAGTAAGAAGCAGAATGTGGTTGCTAGAAGTAGTGCAGAATCTGAGTTCAGATCTATGGCTAATGGAATCTGTGAACTGCTTTGGATCAAGAGAGTGATTTCAGAGTTGAATATGAAAATGGAACTACCTATGAAGTTATATTGTGATAATAAGGCAGCCATTAATATTGCTCACAACCCTGTGCTACATGATCGTACTAAACATATTGAAGTGGACAGGCATTTTATCAAAGAGAAGATTGAAGCTGGAATTGTGTGCACACCATTCATATCTACCAAAGAACAAACAGCTGATATCTTTACAAAGGGGCTGTTCAAACCAGTGTTTGAACTACTTATAAGCAAGTTGGGAATGTATGATATATACTTACCAACTTGAGGGAGAGTGTAGAAAAATGTAACATGTATTTGTTATTTTAATTATTTGTACATCCGGAACTGTATAGATAAGACTTATTGTAGATAGAACTCTCTAACTAGTAGATAAGCTCGCAGAATAGATAGATCCTATATTTTAGGATCTGTAACAACTAGGCTTTATCTTTATCTGTAACTTGTATATATATCATTGCCGGATGGCTCAATAATATTCAAGGAAGATTAATTCTTCAAACCTACAAATTCAATTTGAAGTTCAAATCCAGTCTTAAGTATTTTTAGTGCTTTAATAATTGAGAGTGAGCACCTAATATTTACATAGTCATTTATTTTAGTTGGAAACAGTACTCCAGACAATAAATATTCTTCCCACTTTCCTAATTCAGCTGTCCAAAAAGATCTTCCCTTTTCCTTTAAGGGAAAGGAATGTGCGATTGACACTGATTCTATCCTTCCAAAATGAACCTCAAGCACAATATTTCACCTTCCATTCAACAGTCGTGAGTAGTGTTAAAGGTTAATATCAATACAATACAACAACATCCAAGTCTTAATCCAAAAAGAATTTGGGGTCGGCTAACATGAATCGATCAATGATATCGATGCCAAACAGAGAAGACGGACAAGAAATGGAAGAGAAAAAGTAAGATAAAACGAATAAAATAAAGATAAATAAATATAAGATAACAATAACACAAGAATATAAGAAAGATAAAAGATAAAAAAGAGCATAAAAAGCTAGAATATAAAAATAACAAAAGAATATACAAAGATAAAGAAGATAAACGATAAAAGAAAAAAGAGAGGAAAGGTAGAAATGACATCAATCGTCCACACGGATGTGCGCCCTCCACTTTGCTCTCTCCAAAGCCATACTCTCATCCAACCCAAGAAGAAGCATATCAGTTCTGATTCCTCTAATCCAAATCTGTTTGGGTCTTCCCCTCCCTCTCTTCTCTGCCTCTTCTCCCCACCCCTCAAGTCGTTTAACAGGTGCATCACTCGATCTTATCGCATGAAATTTACTGATGGTGATTACTTACCGTATCACCATAAAGCAATATACAAATAGCAATCCTACTTACCTGAGGGAGATCTTCATGCTCAGAGTAGCAACCTTTAGTGTACAACAACAGATCTATCTGGCTCATCCGTGGTGTATGCAATGGTGATCTAGGAGTCATACTGCTTGCAGAAGATGACGCCATCCCTTGATCAGACTTGGGTCCAAAGCGAGTTTTAAATGGCATAGAAGGATTGCCCTTGAACTCATCCATGAAAGCAGAATTATCAGCTACAGGAAAACAGTCAAGCATGTCCTCTGAACCTCTTTGAGACCAATCACTAAGCTTTGGAGAGAGGACATCAGATCCTTCATTTATGCTTGAGTTTGATATTACTGCACCATCTGGACTCGCAACAGCCGTCTGAAAGTCTTTCTGTATCAATGACTCGATTAGCTTCTCAAGAGTCTCAGCAATCCTAATCAAGCGTTCATTGACACTAAGACCATTCTGATCGCAGCGATCAGCAATTGTACAAATCCTTGAGTGTTCCTCCACGTGCAAAGTAGGAACCTCCTCCTCACAAATACGACAAATTATTGAACTCTCATCAGAAATGCCTTGTTGGTCTCCCCAGTAACCCCAAGAAAGTTTGTGCTGGTGTTTTGAAGACCCATACGAGTGCCCTTGAGTTTTAACAGTAGTAGCTAGATCTCCATCTGATGCCCCATCTCTCTTGTTACTTATCAACAGTGAAGCCTCAAGGTTAACGTGCTCCTTTGCTAAAGGAATTTCTTTTGAAATTTTCCCTGCAGGAGTAGGTAATCTCTTCCAGGAAGCTATGCGATTCTTTCCACCAGAAGCATCCGGGTTCTTTTCAAACTCAGTTGGAAGAGACTGTAATATAACTGGAGTTCCTGACTGTTCTATTTTCTGATTCAAACCATGCTGCTCCTGACTGTAAGATTTTCTCGTAAGCGCCTTGGGGTCTGCCTTTACAGCACTCACTGACTTCTTATCCTTTTCCAGGCTTCCAGAAACATGTTTATCTGTGGGCTGTAGTGATTTGCGAAGTAGAAACAAAGGTTCCTCCTCAGCAAGACTGCTTTCTTTGTGAAACTGGAGCAACCGTGTACATCTTGTTAGTATAAACAGCATTCGAGTATGAAGCTGCTTAAGAACACCAGCAGGAAGTTCCTGCCGCCTATCATCCAACTCTTGCACGATTCCTTCACACTGAAGCCAGAACTCACCAGGTGACGAGATTGCACAGCTTCTAGACAATATCAGCAAGTCTTCAATGATTTCCTGCCACTCAGGGTGAGTTCCTGTGTTCTTTTCCAAAATCCCAACCAGATCTGCTGCAAAGATATGAAGATCAGAATCCACTTCCTCTTTTGCTTTATCAAACTTTGTCCGTATCATGGTCAAAACCTCCTGTTCAAAAACTGGATAAGTTGGTGAATAATTGCCACTAGGATGCTAAACATCCATCAGCCTTGAGTGGTTAATAAGAAAAGTCATACCTCCAAGTTATTTAAGCCCCGAGGCTTCCAAAACGGAAAAGGCCGTACACCTTTAGAATTCAGCTCATGGGAAAAGCTTTTGATGTCACCAGGATGCCTTTTCCTAGGGGCACTTGTTACACGAAGTATAGCTTGAAAGCGTGGAGACTCGGACTCCTTTGGATTATCACACTCATAAGATGTCTATAAGATTAAATTGTTAGATGTGAGATACATGTGACGCAGCAAGCATTTGAAAGCTTGGGTGTGACTATTAATGCTTCATAAGTACAAAAAACCATTTTACCTTATCTGGAGTATATGCATCAAGTGTCTGCTGATCACCAAAATGACCCCAAGAAGAATTGAGCCGATCTGTCAAGTATTTACAAGTATCAAATAAATAAGGATTTAAACAAGTCAACAAACAGGGTCTAAACTTTAACAGATAAGAACACAACTGCAGGAGTTAACTTACATCTATTCCAATTTATTGACCTAAATATTCAGTTGGAAAAAGTGCACATGCAAATTCCAGTCCAAGTTTATACCCACAAGGGCCCAGATTAAAACTAGCTTGAAGTTGCCAAATGCCTAAATACCAACATTTATAAACTGATGGTAATAGTTATCAGCAAAATCAGGCAATGTATCCCGATAGGAGAATCAAAATACCAGGACAAAGAAGAATATACTGAAAAGTGAAAACTAAGCTAATCTACAAAAGAAAAAGTTGTATTTAGTTCAAAGAACAAGGCCATCATAAAACCCAACTTCTCTAGTTCATTTTTATAACTAGCATGTAACAACCCTGGGATTCCAACTTACTTTAACAAAACTAACAATGGTAAATAAAAAAGAGTTAAAGAAATGTAGTTTCAACTGGATAGTAATGACAAAAAGAAGCTGAAGCTCATAACTAATGCATTGTCCCCTCACTCTCCTCCCCCCTCCCCCCAAGGTAAGGGGGGCAGTTCTAATATTTGAATCTTTTCGCAAGTGGAAGCACAAGTATGCCCAAGATTACACAAGATTCAAAGCTACAATTAGACAATCAGTACCTTTTGTCAAATTCTTTGGACTTGAATTGGCAACGATTAATAAAAAAGAACATCTACAATCAGTTTGGAGCATAAAGTGTTTTTACTTTCTATTTTTCATTTGGAACTACTTCGTATAAAATGTTCAGATTCAACTCCCTTCCAATTTACAATATGAAGTCGCTCACTCACTCAATGAAACGTGTTTCTGGTAACTGCTAAGTGGCAATACTATGTGTAGACAGTGTTGTCAGTTGTCACCATTGAGTAGTGGAAGTGATGCAGAGGGTAGAGGTATATGAGTGATAGCAGGACACTATGAAGCGCAGACACTTTAAAAGGTGAATTACACAATTCAGACACGCCAACATTGTGCCTCCCCCACCCCCAAAATGGCCGGAGACGCTCTGAAAGCACAGAAGAAGATTTTTTTGGGATGGTGCATTTCTAAAGAGCTCCAATATATTGGACTGTAGTGTTCTAAAAAACAATAGTCTAGATATATCCATATCATGTATCGCATCAACTGATCTCTTATTGATCTGGCCTCAGACTATTGACTTGTAATAATTTGGAAGCAAAGGTGCATGCACGGATACAGGTGCAGGAGATGACGATAAAGGCGTGTGTTTGGTAGATCATGTAATTCGTAAAGATAAACGGTCATGCACAAGCCGTATTCTTCATTTGTCTCATATACTCATCTGTCTTGTACGGATACGGGTGCAGGAGACTATGATAAGAGGCATGTGTTTAGTAGATCCTGTGATTCATAAAGGTAAATGGTCATGCACATGGTCTATGCTTCATTTGTCTCATATACTCATCCGCTTCCAAAATCTTGTTCTTTCATAGTTTCCTTGATACAACCCCTTATGACCTTATCCCATCCTGGATGGTGCATGCTATGATTGAAGAAACGAATGCCTTGGATTTCAATGGTACTTGGGATTTCTTAGAATTGCCAGCGGAAAAGAAATTAATTGGATGCAAATGAGTGTTTGCAGTCAAGGTCAATGCTGACGGTCTGTCTACTGGCAAAAAGGTATGCACAAACTTAAGGTCTGATTAGTTTGTTGCTTTCTTACCAGTGGAATTATAGAAATATATCAGATTGCTCTTCTCACTACCCGAAACCTATGATTGCCCCTTACATCAGTTGGATTACGAACGCCTTCTTAAATGGTAATCTTCAGGAGGGAGTCTGCATGATGTAACAACCTTCGGCGGGAGTAAGAGAAAGTTTTTAGACTTTGAAATATAATTGTACGGTCTCAAATAAAATCCTCATACTGATTTGAAAAGTTTAGTCAAGCACTTGATCGGTTTGGATTAATCAGAGGACAATCAGATCACTCAGACAACACTCAGACAATCAGATCACTCAGTCTTTTACTAACGCTAAAAACAGGAATTAACTTGCACGTTATATGTTGAAGTAACATGATATATTCCTTTGGACATTGAAATGAAATGAAATAAGAAAGTGATACTTCTATATTGGCGCAAATATATACTCCACTTGATGACAGAGGCATGAAAATTAGGAGCAAGAGTGTGTAGTACTCCCATGATTCCTAATGTACAAATCACTCAAGATGGAGTCACATTCAAATAATTCGATGATACTCCGAAATATATAAGATTGGTTAGAGAGTTGAAATTACCTCATAGTTACTCGTTGAAACGTCTCTTACTCAGTAAGTGTACCAAGAATTTTTGTGCTACTTAAAGAAAGCACCAAGATGTGGTATTGTCTATCAAAACCATGAGCACATGAAGATAGAATGTTTTGCATACGCTGATTGGGCAGGCTCTATTGATGATCAACTACTGACTATTGTGTCTTTCTTGGTGGTAATATATATCATGGAAAAGCAAGAAACATAACGCGGTATCTCGCTTAAGTACAAAAAGTATATAACTGGGGGGCGTAGCTCACCTAGTAGGAAGGGGTGCCACAAGGGAGAGGTTCTGGGTTCAACTTCAAGCAATGACTTGGAATGGAACTCCACTCTCTTTCCATCAAAGTCAGATCAAAGACCAATTTACATCCTCCCAGATAACTATTCGGTCGGTTCTGGGGGGCTCAAGGATGGAGTGTCATCCTTTTTTAAGTACAAAAAGTATATTGTGTGATGGCTCAATCAGCATGTTAAATTATATGGTTATATCATTTATTTATGGAATTTTATCAATCCAGGACCTGAAAGATAGACGAATTACCAATCCGGGATCCGAAAGATAAATGTATTGGTATAGGATCCGAATGATGGAAAACTATCGATATAGCACCTGAATGATTGAAAACTATCAATATAGGACCTAAGTTGTCATAAACATTATTATTTTTTTATTTTAAAAAAAATAAATTTTATTTAGTTTTATTAAACTAATAACTTTTGTGAAGAAAAATTCATCAAATATTAGCAATGGAATTAATAAAAAATTAAATAAATCAAAACCTATGAAATCTTAGGTCCTACATTGATAGTTTTTTATCATTCGGGTCTTATACCGACACATTTCATATTTTAGGTCTTAGATTGATAATTTGTCTATCTTTCAGGTCTCGGGTTGATAAAATTCCTTTATTTATTGAATGAAACGGGCTTCAAATTCCAACAAAACTTTGATGTGACAATCAAGCTACACTGGACATTGCCTCTGACCTTGTTTTTCAGAGCCGCACTAAGCGTATTGAAGTAAATTGCCATTTTGCTCGAGAGAAGATACAACAAGGTTTAATTTCTACATGAACAACTAGGAGACATCTCTACAAACGTTCTATACAGGGCATGGGGTTAATTATCTGTGTAACAAGTTAGACATGCTGAAAAGTGATTTGTAGAGAAAATGAAACGGTCAATTTTGCTTCTATCGGCACTTTTATCCTAACCTAATATGCTGAGTAATTCGGAGAGTCAACCTTGTCACCGCCACAACAACAAAAACAACATCCAAGCCTTAGTCCCAAAAGAATTTTGAGATGGCTAACATGAACTGATGTATGAAATCGGAGCCAAAAAAGTTTAAAAAGACAACAAGATTAGATGAGAATACGAGATGATAAAAAGATAATAAAAAATAAGATAAAGATAAAAAGATAAGATAACAAAGGATTAAAAAAAATAACAAGGATAAAAAAAGATAAGAAAAAAAAATAAAAGGATGAAATATGGCATGAATAATCTCCCTACACTTCGCTCTCTCCAAATTCATATTCTCATCCAACCCAAGAAGTATCATATCACTCATGACTCCTTTAATCCGCGTTTGTTTAGGTCTTCTTCTCCCTCTCCTCACAGCCTCTTCTCCCCACCTCTAAACTTATCTAATAGGTGCATCACCCAGCCTTCTATGCACATGGCAAGACCACCACAATTGAGATTCTTGTATCTAATCTTTAATAGGTATTACTCCAACCTTTTGTTTGATTGTCTCATTCCTCAAGCGGTATTTTCTAGAATGTTCAAACATACAATGCAACATGTGCATCTCAATTACACTCATCTTTTAAATGTGACGTTTTTCACCACCCAACACTCTATGTTAGGGTTGACATTTTGAACCCAAAAATCGAAAACCAAATCAAAAAAAAGCCGAACTTCATTGAAATGAACCGAACCGATGTAATTTGGGATCTGAAATTGGGATCGGCAAAAGTGCAGTTTCAAGTCGCTTTTATACCCAAAAATTAGTTTCCAACGAACCAAACTGATAAGTTACATTAACAGTAATTATTATTAACAATTTAACATTAATGATAATCATTACTCCTTCCGTCCCGGTAAGATTACCTCATTTTACCTTTTCGGTCCGTCCCACTAAGATTGTCTCATACAAAATTTGGTAAAATTTGTGTAGCTCTAAATCATTCTTACTTAATTCTTACTTTATCAATTCAGTATCAACCACACAAACCACTTTTTATTGATTTGTGTGTCACTCTCTCTTGTCCCATTGTTAGTGGAACGGAGGGAGTATTATTTATTATGTAGTTTGCTCCTACCGTGGGGTCCTAATTGTGGCACATTTATACTCCTTAGGGGTGTTCTTATTTCATAGGGTATCCTAATTGCATAGTAATTTTGTTACTTCTAATTTCACTAAAAGATAAATGAAAAATTGAAAATAATAATCTCAACTATTGCCGGTCCGCTAACAATAATCCCAACTGTTGATTATTTTTGTATAATCCCAACTAGGGGTGTAAACGAGCCGAGCCGAGCCCGAACTCACATATGCTCGAACTCGAGCTCGAAAAAAATTTATATGCTCGAGTTCGGCTCGAGCTCGATCGAGCTTAAAAAATTGAAACTCGAGTTCGACTCGAAAGCTTTAATTGAGCTCACGAGCCGCTCAAGATTGACTCGAAAGCTTAGCCATTTTATTAAGTTTTAATGGCGTGCTGCTTGGTTGGTTCACAATTGTTTGCATGGATATGAGGTGCTTTATAGGTGGCTGGTAGAGGAAACTACTCCTCACTTTCCGGTGTGGGAAGTTTAGAGATTAGAAACTAAAATCAAATCTGAGTATTGAAATCCGAATGACTACACAAAAGGATACCGTGGAGAGGATTCGAACCTGGGTTGCCTACAAATCCTACAAGGGCAATTCCATCCCGTCTACCAACCCGTTTGTGTAAACTTTGATGTCATTTTCTTTTATTCTTATTCCCAGTGAACTAACGAAAAAACTAATACTTTTTTTTGTTTTTACGAATAAACTAATACTTACTTCGTGTTATATATGTAGTATTATACTCCGTAATTATTATAGATAATGATTATAATAATAAATAATGCTATATTTTATTATGTCTATTATAATATACGTAGTAATAAGTATTAAAAATAGAGTAATTCTAAATAGAATAACTATTTCAAAAATATTATATATATAATTATTATACAACATGTAGGCTCGCGAACCGGCTCGCGAGCCACGAGCCTAAAATTAAGAGGCTTGACTCGAGCTTGTTTTGTATACGAGTCGAGCCGAACTCGAGCCGAACTTGAATATGATTGAACTCGAGTCGAGCTATTCCCGAGCGATCCACGAGCGGCTCGCGAACGGCTTGGCTCGTTTGCACCCCTAATCCCAACTATATGGACCGTCCGCCAATAATGGTCCATGACTGCATATTACCTACTCTAACAAGTGAATTTTTAATAGAAATTAAGCGTAAAAATCAAAATTTGGGATTATTTATAGGGATTACCTGTTATATCTCTTTAGAAACTATAAGAATTTATTTATAGTCGGTCACGTCGGACCATTATTGGCGGAAGGCCCCTAAAGTTGGGATTATTCAGAAATCATCGATAGTTGAGATTATTATGAGCGGACCGCCAATAATTGAGATTATTACGATCAATTTTTCCAAATATAAATCCCTATCAATCGCTAGTAACATGTCATTCAAGCTTTGACTAACAAAATAATATATTTCCAACTTAATAGAAAAAGGAGAATTTTTTTTCTGCCACTAAATTTAGATTTGTTTCCATCATTTGCAATGGAGCCAAAAACTCACTATTTTTTGGCTTGGGAATATGATGGAATAAAGCAAAATGGCTCATTAAACTGTTTGCGCTTCTTTGTTATGAAGCAGCGGTCAGTTCATGCAACTTTCAACGCGATTTTCACTATGGGTCGTCCGGAAACAGTCTCTTTGTGCTTTAGTACAGGGGTAAAACTGCGTACATCCGACCCCATTACTCCACCGTAGATGACTAAATTTAGACTTGATGCAAAAATAAGTTTCGTTGTGTCAAAGAAAATGTATAGATTCTCATAACAAAGGCATTTCTGATCAATCTTCTAACTTAAGAGCACATATAGAGGACCATCCCTAAGCTCACAATCATCTAAACGTCATGATGATTGGCAACATTTACATATTTGATGAGGTTACTCATTCTGCAAGTTATTAAAGGAAAAGTCTGGATTCCTTGATGAGTCTCATTCCCAAACAACTAAACTCTGGAACATAAATGTATGTTCAATGGCGGAATTGAATCATACCTGCTTCACAAGAAGGTTCAACATTCTGCAATCTAGATGGACCTGTGACATGGGGACTCTGTTCTCTGGAAGGTACACTCTCAGTTGACATGGTATCCGAATTGCTCCCATGATCCACCCAACCAGAATTTTCAGTTGTTTTTCTGTTCTCCTTCACACCACTCTTCTTCTTTCCAGGCCACAAGGTCGACTGCTCATCACATGTACCTGTCTTAGACAAGATACTAGCACCCAAACCACCCACCTTATCTCTATACCCAAAGAAGCTCTCCTGAGGCAACGGCCCAGATCGCGTCTTAATCTTATGTAACCCTAAGGAAGAAGCTAAAATTGGTGAAGCTGATAGAGAAGAATGCAACAAGACTTCCTTGACCTCCGCAGAGCCTGATTTCTTAAGCTTTGAAGAAACTAAGCCCTCCCTTCCTGCTGAACTAGGATTAGGACTTCCGGGAGTGAAATCCTTGCCGTTAGCGAGCTTCTTCTTATCCTTGAAACTAGCAGCTAGCCTGGAATCCGGAGACGAATTACTGGGGGAGTCGTTGTCCTTGGATGCGGAACCAGATTTCGCCTTTTTCTTGTCGGTTCGGATAGGAGAATTCGACCCGGCTGAGCGCGGGCTACTGGAGCATCCATCTGTGCTGGAAGCATCATGTTTCCTTGAAGAGAAAAAACGACCTTTGAACACCATCCTCGGCTGATGGGTCTGCTAGGTTTTTGAAACACAGGCTGCTAATAAATTTCTTTTTCAGAGCTCTAAGCATGGCGGAGATGACGGTGGACTAGGAAGACATCACAGTTTTTTAAAGAACACATCACAGTTTTAACTTCCTGTTTTTCTTAGTTTTAAGTTGCCGTGTTTCTGATGGACGTTGGGCTGAGAGAGACGAGGGAAGTGAGGGCCAAGAATAATAAAGTAAAATTTGGGAACAACAAAGCTATTTTTTAAAGGAAAAATTCACACTAATAATCTCACCTATTACCAGTCTGACTATTAGATCAATTGAAGACAAGGGATAGGGAAACAAAGTTGTCGCCATTACAGACTGAGGAACGAGGAACGAAGAGGGGTTGAAGAAAGGTTATACGTCCACGGAAAGAAGAATGGTAAATTGGTATCCTTTCCCTCCTTCTTTTTTTGTCTTCGTTTTTTGTCTACTATCATGTCTTCGTTTTTTGTCTTTGTTGCTTTGTTCATACAGTTGTCATTGATGTTAATTTTTGTTCCTGGAACTGAGTTGTCTGATTTTCACTTTTAGGTTTTAGGGGAAACTCAGGTTAAACTGCGTATATGGCATGGGGGAGTATTTAAGAAGGACAGTAGGGGTAGACTACAATACGTGGGAGGTACTTTTAGAATTTTTGATGTAGATGCAGACGAACTATGTTGGTTTTGGCTAGAAGAACTAGCTAAGAAATGTGGGGATTATTGTACTATTGATGTCATTTACTACATGGTACCAAATCTAAGCTATGAAGAGGGATTGAGAAGGGCATATCATGATGATCAAGTGAGGGATATGATAGATGTAGTCTTAAAGACAAAGTGCGTTGACTGCTATGTCATTCATGGAATTGATGTGACAGATTTAATTCAAGCAATTGAATATGTGGGACAAAATGAATGTGCAGAGATAATGTCATCCAATAAGAAGAAGAAACTTAGTCCTAGGGGAGGATCTAAGGTTCATGTGGGTACTTCACAACCTCAGACCACTGCTCCAGATTCATTTCAGGCTGACAGGCCCCACAGCCCATTTACATGGGATGAAGAAGAAGACTCAGATGATCCAGAGTACACTCCTGCAAGTGAAGAAGGTAACATAAATGATGACAATTCTGATTTCCAAGGTGATACTTCAGAAGATGAAGACCTAGAGAACATACAAGAGGGTCTGGTTTTGTCAGATCTTGATACCAGTGATGAAGAGTATCAAAAGGTTAGGGATCAAGTTAAGGGGTGGAATGCCAAGATATTAGGGATTGCAACTGCTCTTCAAAAAGAAGCTGGTGAGGGTAAACTGCCAGGGCAAAATCAGAGATCTAGTAAGGCTAGGGTGCAAGAAGGTATAGAGGAAGACTTTGCCTTTATTAGTGACTATGAAGACACAGAAGAAGAAACTTTAACACCAGATGAAGATGAAGAACAATATGAACTCAAAAAAAGAAGGAGGGAAAGGATTCCAATTGTTAATGAACATACTGACTACAAAATACTTGAGTGGAAAGTAGGAACCAAATTTGAGAGTAGAGAGAAATTTAGAGATGCTGTGGTTAGATTTGCAGTAGCTCAAGGCAGAAATCTAATGTTCAGTGTTAATGATAAGAAAAGGCAACAAAGGTTAGGTGCAATATGTGTACCCGGGTGTCCCTTCAGGATATATGCTAGCTGGGACAGTAGCAGAGGGTGCTTTGTGGTGAAATCAGTTGTAGGGGAGCACAGGTGTCTAAGAAACATGGAATCAAACAAACAACTGAAATCTTCATGGGTTGCTAAGCAATTTCTAGAAGTTTTTAAATCAAGACCCCATTGGCCAGCTAAGGAAATTATTGAAACCATACGCAGAGCATATAGAGTGGTTGTTAAGAGGAACTTTGTTTACAAAGTTAAGTACATTGCCCATAGGAAACTTCATGGTAGTATGAAGGACCACTACAACAGACTTGGGAGGTATCTTGAGGCCTTATCAGTTGCTAGTCCTACCAGCCATTTCCAGCTTGAAGTCAATCCTGAATTAAGAGTGTTTCCACAAGTTTTTCAGAGACTTTTTGTGTGTTTTGATGGTGTTAAGCAAGGCTGGCTAGAAGGGTGTAGAAAGGTGTTGTGTGTGGATGGGTGTTTCTTGAAAACATTTTTGGGTGGAGTCTTACTTTCTGCAGTTGGAAGAGATGCAAATGAGCAGATGTATCCCCTTGCATGGGCTGTGGTTGAAGGGGAAAATAATGATAGCTGGGAATGGTTCTTCATTCACTTAAATAGAGCAATAGGTGAAACAGGTGGTTCTGAGCTTACTATAATCTCTGATGAACACCGGGTAATTTTTCTTTCCATTTCACTTATTGTAATTTTGTATAGTTTAGTGACTATGTTCTTTATAAGATTGATCTGAGGTTACATTGTTCATTGGTTGATAGGCTATTTTGAATGGAGTTCAGAAAGTGCTTCCTCGAGCAGAACACAGACATTGTGCAAGGCACATCTATGCCAACTGGCATAAAAACCATAAAGGGGATGAGCTTAAGATGGCTTTCTGGAAAGTGGTTAAGGCTTATAATCAAGCTGATTATGATGATGCTTTAAGGGAAATGGAGAATCTGAGCCCATTAGCCACCCAATCTTTCAAAGCATGTGACCCAACCAAATTCCGCAGGGCCTTTATTAAAACAAATACCAAATGTGAGGTAATTGTCAACAATATGGCTGAGACATTCAATGGTTACATTCTCAATGCTAGAACAAAGCATTTAATCTTCATGATGGAAGATATTAGGACAGCTTTAGTGCAAAGGATTGTTCAGAAAAGGCAACAAATGGAAGTCAGTCACCACATTATATGTCCTAGGATTCAAGCAAAGCTAGAAAAAGAAAAGGAAGAAGCAGCCAATTGTGCAGCAATGCCTTCATCTCTCATGGTCTTCCAAATGATCTTAACAGAATAACAAAATTTTAAGAGAAGTTCATCATACACATTACAAAACAAGATCCAATATTACATTTCTTCAAATAAGAAGTAATTACATCACAAGATCTGCTAATATTACATCACTTTAACATTACATGGTACATTACTTCAAATAAGAAAGAATCTCAAAAACTATCCAAGATGCTATTATAACCATAACAACATATGCTTCTCCTCTAGCTGTTTTGGAAGCCACCATTCGAGAATCAGCAACTTCTACAACCAACCTCTTGTTCTTCATCTTCAACTTGTGTACTCTTTCTTCCAATAACTTCTTCTCTGCCAACAACTGCTCAATTAGTAGATCTTTATCTTTCACTATTTGGACATCATATTGCACATCAGTGCCCTCACACCATTCAAAGAAACGACAATCTGCATTCTACAATCAAAACGAGATATTGCACATCACTGTCATCATTGTCATTACAATCTGTATTCTACTCAAAATGTTTAGCACTACTTCAAGTGAAAATGACTTATGACAGAAAGAGTCGTCATTAAAACTAAACAATTCAATGTTTTGCATAAACCCTAATGTTTAAAGAAATAATAGCGAGCATATAGTTTTGATATAATTCAGAGCATTCAAAATTATAAACCCTAATGTTTTTATTTAAAACTAATATTTTCATCCAATGAAAACTAATGAAAAGTTTATAAAGCAGAGATACTTACAGGCCATAGCGAGCAGCCATAAAATTTTCTTCCAATGTTTGGACCGCTCTTTACCGTTCGCAATTTCGGCTCTATCTTGTGATGGCAAGTACGCACAACCACTCTATTCGAGTTGCAGGTCCAAGAAGATGAACCACTCACTGAATTCATGATTGTTCAGTACTCAACAAATTGAAGATCTTCCCTTCCCATTCCTTGTTCTCTTCACTCGTCTCTCGCGCAGGGATGCAAGAATCGCGCAGGGATGTCGATTGGGCTTGGCCTCTGATTTTGGGATAAGAGGGAGAGGATAATCACGTGTGGGTCACGCGATTCTTTAATTACCGGTTAAGATGGGTTCTTCAGGTTAATAGAGTGTTTGTGGAAGGTTACCTCTTTAATACGTATTAATTTAGAATTATGCAGGGGAGGGATTAATAATGGAAGACCGGTAATAGGTGGGATTATTAGTGTGAATTTTTCCTTTTTTAAATGAAAAAATGAAAATAATAATTTAACTGGGTGATCTCAACTATAGCGATAATTTTTCAAAAATAGTCTTTAACATGCTACAACCCGGTATAGCTATAAATAATCTCAATTATAGTCGATTTTCTTTTATTAATCCTAACTACCAATTCTCAATTTTAGAAACATATAAAATATTTTTATAAATTGCCAAATAAAATAATTTTAAATATGTAAAACTAATTATGAGAATTCTACAAATGTGCCGAAGTTAAATAAAAATATTTTTAGTCATTTTTTATTTATTTTCACTAAAATTTCATTTTTTTTACAATTTATTTTTCCTAGTTGTGTTAACAAGTTATGATTTTGTGTTATTTTCTTTTAGGAAAAATTGAAAATAATAATCTCAACTATTGCCGGTCCGCTAACAATAATCTCAACTATTGATTATTTTTGTATAATCCCAACTATATGGACCGTCCGCCAATAATAGTCCATGACCGCATATTACATGCTCTAACAAGTGAACTTTTAATAGAAATTAAGCGTAAAAAATAAATTTTGGGATTCTTTATAGGGATTACCTGCTATATCTCTTTAGAAACTATAGGAATTTATTTATAGTCGGTCACGTCGGACCATTATTGGTGAAAGGTCCCTAAAGTTGGGATTATTCTGAAATAATTGATAGTTGGAATTATTATGCTATCTTGATTGTAAAAATCAAAATTCTATTTTTTCAATTTTAGTAATTTCAATTTCTTTCTATTTCATTATTTTAGGTTATTATATTCTATAAATTATATGATATAGTTTATCATTGAATCCTAGTGATTTTGGGACATAGGTTTTGGAGCTTTTGGCTATATTAATGAAAATGTATTAATATTTTAATTTTAAGTGATACATTTCCTCTACATTTTTGACAATTTCCATTATTTCACTTAAAATTACAATATTAATGCATTTTCATAAAAAATAGCCAAAACCTCCAAGAATATTAATCTTCCGGCTAGGAATTTCCTGATTGGGGCCTCGTCAGGCCTCCGTCGTTTGGGGCGGTTATCCGTGGTTTTTTTGCTGAAATTTTTTAT